TTAGCCTGTTGATTTTCATTCATAGTATTCAGCTAACAAGGAAATATTTTGCAATAAGATAATATCTAAGATTATTTATTTATTTATTTATTTTTACCTTGAAGGAACATCCTGTACCCTCATATATTATGAAAAGTAATTGTGTGAATAAAAATAGCGATAATTATATTAAATCAAGGTCACGTCAGGAGCCGCTGACGCCACAGGCTGTAGCATCGCGAGATGTCTGTAAGTAACGCGAGAGTGTGGAGCGGGAGCCGGAAGTGGAGTGAAGATGGAGGGTGTCGGTTTATGTGCTAACAACAAACAGAAACAGAACCAAATGTTGCCGAATAAAATGCGCGGCGAGTTCACCAGAAACCAGAGGAAGGACTCTGAGGTAAGAGTCAGACGAAGCTGTTTAAGACCCTTTTGATTGTATATATGCAGTTTTGCAGTCTGTTTTGACATAAGTGTTAGCATAAACATCAGCAACGTTCAAAGATTAAAATTAATAAATTATTTATACAGCGCTGATTAAATAAATGTAGCTCAAAATATGAAAAGAGCCTCGTTATTAAAAGATTTTATTTAAATTGCTCATGAGAAGTGTTTAGTAACAACTCATTAAACAACAGTTACTTTTAAATATTCTTTAAAATCTCTCTTATTATCTTATCATTAGTGAACAAATACATTAATCAATAACACACAGAATGATTGATTCATGTAATTAACATCGCCCATTAATGATTCGTTGTGATTCATCTCTTCTCTGGCTTTTTCATTCTGATTGGTTATTTAATCCTAGATAACGACTGACTGACTGTACGATGAACATAAACATATTTGTCATAATATTAACATATTTAAACACTAGCGTCTGTCTGTAGTAAAAAGACTACTTATTGTGGATCTAACATACTTTAAAAGAATATATTCAAGTGCAGATTGAATGTCGTGCTTTCAGTCTTTTAATTGCATGATATTTGCAATTACATGAAATTGTATTAGAGATTAAATTGAAAATAAATGCACTTCTGTTATATGAACAGTGCCTTTTTGACCAACTTTAATACAGCTTCATATGTATTTACATAATTCGATTTTCTTTGAAATATGGTTAAAGTGTACTGCCAAATGTCCTGTCAAGCCTTTTTGGTAAACTAAAAATATACTTTAATGTCATTTCAATCTAAACCTGTATATCATGTATTTAAGTATTATTAATAATACATTTGTAAAGTATAACCATAGGTTATTAATGCAATAATTTAAAAGGTACTTAAAAGTAAAGAGTTTAATTTGACATTATTACAAAGTTTACTTTTTAAAACTACTTAAGTGTGTTAAAAAACATAGTTATAAAAGTGTACTCTCCTTAAGTACTTTTTATTTCCTTAATATGTCAATTGCTCATATGGGGCCAGATTTACTAAACTGGGCAAATTAGCGTTAAAGCGCAATTCCATAAAAGCGCCGATGAGGGGAAAATTCTGTGGGTGATTTACTGACAATGGGCACATTAAAGAACAGACAGCCAGATCATTTCCATAATGAGAAGAGCAATCTACCAAGAGCAGCGCAAATTAGGCTACCGCCTGCTTTAAAGGTGCCGTATGTAAGTTTTTGACTCTACTAAAGCATATAAATACCATAATGTTTGCAGATATTTAAGAAACATGCTAAGTTAACATACTTGTTTATCTGAAAACCAATGCTACAGTCAGTTATTCTCCTTTGAAAATGTGCGTTCTGTGTCGGAATGTCTGTCTCTGTTTTGGTCTGTGTAACCCGCGCACTGCCAGTTTACCCAATTGTATTTCGGCACCCCTGGTTGCCAGTTGGCGGAAAACACCGCGCATTTCATTTAAGTCATGGAAGCTGCCAAACGAAAGGGGTCATTTCCTGTTGGTGTCCTCAATCTGGCAACCTGCATGTGCGTCAAGTCTGAGGGTGTGAAAAAAACCCTCTCCAATATTTGGAATTTGGACTGCAA